GGCACAAAATGGGTATCAAATATCACAGTGCGCCGCACAAGGGGAGAAAAATCATAGTGCCCACAATTTTGACTATAGAAATGATGTTTTTTACTTATGTAATTGTATAATTACGGTTTCAAAGGATGCACGTGACTCCTTTAGTGCAATATATAATTTATAGTCGAAAATTTAAAGTGATATACCTATGTTAGTTATGGTCGAATCCGGTTTATTTTTTCAATGTATATTAGTTGCGGGAATATATTTGCAAAACATTTACCTGTTAGGTGGCGCCGGGGTCGAAATAGTTTGAAATCCCGTATTTATGGACCGATTTCGTTGAAATTTGCGACATGTATTAGATACATAGTAAGAAATATATTATCAAAAAAATAGTCCCGCTAGATGGTGCTTTAGTCGAAATATTTACGGATATAATTTGATTTCTAATATCTTCGCACCTTTTTTCCGGCAGTTTCCAACTTTGCAAATATAGTGTTTTAAAACGGCTATACAAAAATTAAAACAAAAAAAAGCAAATTATTATTTGTGTTTCACTTCCTTACCCCAAGTCTACACCTGCTATGCGCTCTCGCATACGAACTGTCAGTTTTCCCGCATACAAGATCTTATCGCAGAGAAATTTTTGGACGTGGGATTTCATCACATACCATTTCAGTGCGAATATGTTTTGTAATGTTTTATAAATCGTATATCTTCTACGATAAATGGTCTACACAAGCGATATATCTCATACGATGTTTCGTAAGCGAGCGCCCATAGCAGATATAGGCGTGCACATTTCTTTAAGCCTATTGCAGAAAGTTTGGCATCATTGTTTTACTCGCCTAATTACGGCATCAGTAATCTGCGGTTTTTGATCCTCACACCAAGCCTGCGCGTATTTGATGACACCTGCATCCTTCGCTCCCGAACTCGACATGAGAAAAGTCCGAATGCCTAAATTTTTGTCAAAAAAATACACAAAAAATGTGATTTCTTTAGCAAAGGTTGACTTTAAATCGACTTGTTTTAAATTGTGCAATTTTGTGCAAATTCCTTCTATCGGCCCTAGATATATAATTGATCGATTAGATTAAAGGATCCTGAAGAGATCCGTTTGATACACGCTGACAAGCAGTTTATATCCTTATATGAAAAAATTATATTTTTGTTTTCAATCTTAAAGGAGCGCAATTGACATGCAAGGATGACGCTTAAAATTGCAAAATGCTGTTTTTACTTAAGTTTACAATGTAAAACGAAAAGTATGCCCAAGAGTGTAATGTCGTTAGGAAATGAGACAAATACGACCACTGATTGATAAAGGCCGGAAAATTGGCGATTATCGTTCGTCAAAACAAGCATGTTTGTACAAGCTCAGCATTCTTCCAGCTTATGTTCAAACAATTGGGGGCCGATTTTCTATTATACCAGACATCCATA